GCCCCGCCGGTCAATGGTTTATTCTTAATGAATCTCGAACGTGATGTTACACATATTCATAGTGTGAATACCAAAAGATGTAAGATTGACAATGATAGTCCCACATACCTGTGGCACTGCCGCCTTGGTCACATTGGTGTCAAACGCATGAAGAAGCTCCATGCAGATGGGCTTTTGGAGTCTCTTGATTACGAATCATTTGACACGTGCGAACCATGCCTCATGGGAAAAATGACCAAGACTCCGTTCTCCGGAACAATGGAGCGAGCAACCAACTTATTGGAAATTATACATACTGATGTGTGCGGTCCAATGAGCGTTGAGGCTCGCGGTGGCTATTGTTATGTTCTCACCCTCACTGATGACTTAATTAGATATGGGTATGTCTACTTGATGAAACACAAGTCTGATACCTTTGAAAAGTTCAAGGAATTTCAGAATGAGGTGGAGAATCAACATGACAGAAAAATAAAGTTCTTACGATCAGATCGTGGGGGAGAATATTTAAGTCATGAGTTTGGTACGCACTTAAGGAAATTTGGAATTGTTTCACAACTCATGCCGCCTGGAACACCTCAGCGTAATGGTGTGTCCGAACATTGTAATCGCACTCTATTGGATATGGTGCGATCTAGGATGTCTCTTACCGATTTACCGCTATCATTTTGGGGATAGGCTTTATAGACAGCTACATTCACTTTAAATAGGGCACCGTCTAAATACGTTGAGATGACACCATATGAATTATGGTTTGGAAAGAAACCTAAGATGTCGTTTCTAAAAGTTTGGGGATGCGATGCTTATGTCAAGAAACTTCAACCTGAAAAGCTCAAACCCAAGTCGGAAAAATGCATCTTCATAGGCTACCCTAAGGAAACCATTGGGTATACCTTCTACCTTAGATCCGAAGGCAAGATCTTTGTTGCCAAGAACGGGTCCTTTCTGGAGAAAGAGTTTCTCTCAAAAGAAATAAGTGGGAGGAAAGTAGAACTCGATGAAGTACTGCCTCTTGAACCGGAAAGTAGCGCAGCTCAGGAAGATGTTCCTGTGGTGCCTGCACCGACTAGAGAGGAAGTTAATGATGATGATCAAGGTACTTCGGATCAAGTTGCTACTAAACTTCGTAGGTCCACAAGGACACGTTCCACACCAGAATGGTACGGCAACACCTGGAAATCATGTTGTTAGACAACGGTGAACCTTCGAACTATGAAGAAGCGATGGCAGGCCCAGATTCCAACAAATTGCTTGAAGCCATGCAATTCGAGATAGGATCCATGTATGAAAACAAAGTATGGACTTTGACAGACTTGCCCGATGATCGGCGAGTGATAGAAAATAAATGGATCTTTAAGAAGAAGACGGACACTGATGGTAACGTTACCATCTATAAAGCTTGACTTGTCGCTAAGGGTTATCGACAAGTTCAAGGGGTTGACTATGATGAGACCTTCTCACCCGTAGCGAAGCTGAAGTCTGTCCGAATCATGTTAGCAATTGCCGCATTCTACGATTATGAGATATGGCAAATGGACGTCAAAACGGCATTCCTTAACGGCTTCCTTAAGGAAGAATTGTCTATGATGCAGCCGGAAGGTTTTGTCGATCCTAAGAATGCTAACAAGGTATGCAAGCTCCAGCGTTCCATCTATGGGCTGGTGCAAGCATCTCGGAGTTGGAACATTCGCTTTGATGAAATGATCAAAGCGTTTGGGTTTATGCAGACTTATGTAGAAGCCTGCGTTTACAAGAAAGTGAGTGGGAGCTCTGTAGCATTTCTCATATTATATGTGGATGACATACTGTTAATGGGAAATGATATAGAACTTTTGGACAGCATAAAGGCCTACTTGAATAAGTGTTTTTCAATGAAGGACCTTGGAGAAGTTGCTTATATATTAGGCATCAAGATCTATAGAGATAGATCGAGACGCCTCATAGGTCTTTCACAAAGCACATACCTTGATAAGATATTGAAGAAGTTCAATATCGATCAGTCCAAGAAGGGGTTCTTGCCTGTGTTGCAAGGTGTGAAATTGAGCTCGGCTCAATGCCCGACCACGGCAGAAGATAGAGAAAAGATGAGTGTCATCCCCTATGCCTCGGCCATAGGGTCTATTATGTATGCCATGCTGTGTACCAGACCTGATGTAAACCTTGCCGTGAGTTTGGTAGAAAGGTACCAAAGTAATCCCGGCATGGAACACTGGACAGTGGTCAAGAATATCCTGAAGTACAGGAAAAGGACTAAGGATATGTTTCTCGTTTATGGAGGTGACGAAGAGCTCATCGTAAAGGGTTACGTCGATGCTAGCTTTGACACAGATCTGGATGACTCCAAGTCACAAAACGGATACGTGTATATTTTGAATGGTCGGTAGTAAGCTGGTGCAGTAGCAAGAAAAGCGTCGTGGCGGGATCTACATGTGAAGCAGAGTACATGGCAGCCTCGGAGGCAGCACATGAAGCAATCTGGATGAAGGAGTTCATTACCGACCTAGGAGTTATTCCCAATGCGTCGAGGCTGATGACTCTCTTCTGTGACAACACTGGAGCTATTGCCCTTGCCAAGGAGCCCAGGTTTCACAAGAAGACCAGGCACATCAAGCGTCGCTTCAACTCCATTCATGAAAATGTTCAAGATGGAGACATAGATATTTGCAAAGTGCATACGGATCTGAATGTCGCAGATCCACTGACTAAACCTCTTCCGCGTGCAAAACATGATCAACACCAGAACTCTATGGGTGTTCGATTCATCACAGTGTAACTAGATTATTGACTCTAGTGCAAGTGGGAGACTGTTGGAAATATTCCCTAGAGGCAATAATAAAATGATTCTTATTATATCTCATTGTTCATGATAATTGTCTACTATTCATGCTATAATTGTATTGACCGGAAACCGGGATACATGTGTGAATACATAGACCACAACATGTCCCTAGTGAGCCTCTAGTTGACTAGCTCGTTGATCAACAGATGGTCATGGTTCCTGACTATGGACATTGGATGTCATTCATAACGGGATCACATCATTAGGAGAATCATGTGATGGACAAGACCCAATCCGAAGCATAGCACAAGATCATGTGGTTCGTTTGCTAAAGCTTTTCTAATGTCAAGTATCAGTTCCTTAGACCATGAGATTGTGTAACTCCCGGATACTGTAGGAGTGCTTTGGGTGTACCAAACGTCACAACGCAACTGCGTGACTATAAAGGTGCACTGCAGGTATCTCCAAAAGTATCTGTTGGGTTGGCACGAATCGAGACAGGGATTTGTCACTCCGTATGACGAAGAGGTATCTCTGGGCCCACTCAATAATGCATCATAATAATGAGCTCAATGTGACTAATTGGTTAGTCATGGGATCATGCATTATGGAACAAGTAAAGTGACTTGCCGATAACGAGATTGAACGAGGTATTGGGATACCGACGATCGAATCTCGGGCAAGTAACGTACCAATTGACAAAGGGAATTGTATACGGGATTACTTGAATCCTCGACATCATGGTTCATCCGATGAGATCATCGTGGAACATGTGGAAGCCAACATGGGTATCCAGATCCCGCTGTTGGTTATTGGCCTGAGAGCTGTCTCGGTCATGTCTGCGTGATTCCCGAACCCGTAGGGTCTACACACTTAAGGTTCGATGACGCTAGGATTATAAGGAAGATTTGTATGTGATTACGAAATGTTGTTCGGAGTCCTGGATGAGATCTCGGACGTCACGAGGAGTTTCGGAATGGTCCGGAGGTGAAGATTCATATATGGGAAGTCATCATACAGTCGCCGGAAATATTCGGGGGTATACCGGTATTGTACTGGGACCACCGGAGGGGTTCCGGGGGTCCACCGGGAGGGGCCACTTGTCCCGGAGGGCCTTATGGGCTGTAGGTCGAAGGGAACCAGCCCCTAAGTGGGCTGGGTGCCACCTCCCTAGGGCCCATGCACCTAGGGTTGGGGGGGGCCTAAGGGGGGCGCCCCCTTGCTTGGGGGGCAAGCCCCCTCCCCCTTGCCCCCCCCTCTAGATCTCATCTAGAGGGGGGCCGGCCCCCTTCCCCCTCTCCCTATAAATAGAGGGGTGAGGGGAGGGCTGCAGGACCACATCCAAGGCGCATCCCCTCCCCTCCCCAACACCTCTCCTCCTCCACGCGAGCTTGGTGAAGCCCTGTCTGAGAACTGCCACTCCACCACCACCACGCCGTCGTGCTGCTATTGGAGCCATCTTCCTCAACCTCTCCCTCCTCCTTGCTAGATCAAGGCGCGGGAGACGTCACCGGGCTGCACGTGTGTTGAACGCGGATGTGCCGTTGTTTAGCGCTAAGATCGGAATCCACCGCGATCTGAATCGCTACGAGTACGACTCCTTCATCCGTGTTCTTGCAACGCTTCCGTCTTGCGATCTTCAAGGGTATGAAGATGCACTCCCCTCTCTCTTGTTGCTAGTTACTCCATAGATTGATCTTGGTGATGCGTAGAAAAATCTTAATTTCTGCAACGATCCCCAACAATTAGTCCAGTAGTTGCTTCTCTCTTCTAACTTGTGTGTTTATTTGATTTTTTACCAATTATGCAGGAGATGATTGACCTTAACGAATTGCCAGATGACCTTATATGACTTGCCACCCAATGTTTGAGTGGACAATGTTGAACCCATGTACTGCACACAACCTTTTGCGCAAAGGGCCCCACCACTTGAACAATGTCAATGAGTTTGTGCCTGAATCTCCAAACACTCCTATCGCGCAGAATGTTGCCGACTCCGGAATGCAAGCAATGCCCAGAGAACAGCACACACTGGATGACACAGACACTTTGGGAGCAACAGGGGGGGACTATTGCGCGCGAGGGTGCAGGGGGAGATGCTGATAATGATGATGAAGCATGGTCTCAGCCAAAGGAACCTTCATTGTGTACAAGGTTTGACACTTTGCTAGGTGCAAGAGAACACTATAATGCTTATGCTCAGCATCTGGGTTTTTCAATCAAGATGAATACTTCCAGAAGGTCTACTATTACTGGCGAAATAGATAAGTACCAGTTTGTTTGCAACAAGTTTTGGAAACCCAAGAACGATGACCACGGTACTGTGACTGCACCTAACCTTGAAATGCTAGAAGATCCTTGTGAAGATGGGAATGATGATGATGAGGAAGACAATGCCATTGTGGTTGCTAATGATGCTACTGAGAAGAAGAAGAAAGGGAAGAAAAGGAAAAGAGAAAAGATAATACAGACTGGGTGCAAAGCCAAGATGATAGCAAAATTCATTGATGGCCGTTGGGAAGTCACTTATTTCATTGCTGAGCATAGCCATCCATTGATCGACAAACCTTCCTTGACTAAATATTTACGATCACACCAAGGCACCCCCCCAGAAGAGAAGATGTTTCTAAAGAACCTTCATAAGTGCAACTTAACTACAGGTGAATTATGGTAGGAGGAAATAGTTTAATTGCCATGCAAAAAAAAGAAAAAAGATTAGATTCGTTGTTTTATTGCTTCACATAAGGTAGGCAACCAAAAAAAGAAGTAGTGCCAAAAAAACTAGTTACACAAGTTTCTCATTCTTAAGACAGATTAGTGTGGATGGTAGGCAACTATTGGCTGCTTATTGATGCTGTAAATTTCTTAAGATCTGTAGCAACTGTTGTAAAAAATGCAAAGCAATTAGGTGTGGTTGAAGTAGATGTATTTTCTTACAAGCATTCCTGTTTTTAGCAAATAGTATGAGAGTTGTGTAGGCAACTCTTGTCACACATGCAATCAACTAAAAAATGTGTGCTCTTTTGTATATCTCCTACTTGCATCACTGTTTTTAGCAAAAAAAGTGAGTCGGGGTGCTAAGCAAAAATGTTGTCAAAAAATGGTTTCTAGTTGCCTACATCTGGTGTGAGTCATGCATTTGTTTGCGGCTAATGCATCTTTAAATAGCGGTAAGTAGAGATTTAAAAATGCCTATTGGTAGTTCTGAAACCAGAAAGGCCTAAAAATGCATGAAAAAACCACTAAAAATACCTGAAAAGACTAGTGGTGTCCATCTTAGTGTGTGTTGTGCCCTATGGTTAAATATGCATATCCTTTGCCTATTGCGAAGATTTTAAGTCATTATACTTGCCTACTTGTTTTTTAGGCCGAATGATGCACATCATGTCGGATTTCTATGGCACGGAGCTGATTGTTCCTTATACTACGAGGCACATCACAAACCTAAAGTCAAGCTTGAACAGAAATTCAACTAAAGAGGGTGATATGATTGAGACTGTTGCCTACTTCAAAGATATACAGAAGACAGATCCAGAATTCTTCTACAAGGTCAAGTATGATGCAGAAGACAAGGTTGAGAATATTTTCTGGGTTGATGGACCCGCACGAAAAGCCTACAAAGAAGCCTATCACGATTGCATATGCTTTAACACAACATACATGACTAACATGTACAACATGCCATTTGCTCCTTTCATTGGGATAAATCGCCAGTCGTTCATGTTGGGGTGTGACTTTGTTAGACAGGAGTTAGAGACAAGTTTTGATTGGTTATTTGGTACATTCCTTGAAGCAATGGATGGTCTAGCACCATTCAACATAATCACTGACCAAGATTGGGCGATGGCAGAATCAAGTAAAAACATCTTCCCTACTACTGTGCATCATCGATGTCGGTGGCACATAATGAAGAATGCTCAAGAAAAATTTGGTGGCTTAGTGGGAAGGAATCCAGGGTTGTCAAGAGATTTCAATGATTGTGTTGACTTTAGCTTCACTCCAGAAGAATTTGAGACAAAATGGGCAGCTTTGAAGGATAAGTGATACATCCATTTTGCATCTTGCTTTTATATCAATATTTATTGCATTATGGGTTGTCATTACACTTTATATCTCAATATTTATGGCTATTCTCTCTTATTTTACAAGGTTTACCATGAAGAGGGGGAATGCCGGCAGCTGGAATTCTGGCTGGAAAAGGAGCAAACGTTGGAAACCTATTCTGCACAACTCCAAAAGTCCTGAAACTCCACGAAACAACCTTTTGGATTTATTAAAAATTTATGAGCAAAAGAAATAGGCCAGGGGGCCCACACCCTGTCCAGGAGATAGGGCCCCCCCTATAGGGCGCGCCCCCTATCTCATGGGCCCCCTGGTGGGCCTCCAGCGTCCATCTTCTGCTATATCATCACGTTTACCCTGGAAAAAATCGTGGGCAAGCTTACGGGACGAAACTCCGCCGCCACGAGGCGGAACCTTGGCGGAATCAATCTAGGGCTCTGGCGGAGCTGTTCTGCCGGGGACACTTCCCTCCGGGAGGGGGAAATAATCACCAACGTCATCACCAACGATCCTCTCATCGGGAGGGGGTCAATCTCCATCAACATCTTCACCAGCACCATCTCCTCTCAAACCCTAGTTCATCTCTTGTATCCAATCTTGTATCCAAAACCATAAATTGGTACCTGTGGGTTGCTAGTAGTGTTGATTACTCCTTGTAGTTGATACTTATTGGTTTACTTGGTGGACGATCATATGTTCAGATCCTTAATGCATATTATTACACCTCTGATTATGAACATGATTATGCTTTGTGAGTAGTTACTTTAGTTCCTGAGGACATGGGTGAAGTCTTGCTATTAGTAGTCATGTGAATTTGGTATTCGTTCGATATTTTGATGAGATGTATGTTGTCTTTCCTCTAGTGGTGTTATGTGAACGTCGACTACATGCACTTCACCATTATTTGGGCCTAGAGAAAGGCATAGGGAAGTAATAAATAGATGATGGGTTGCTAGAGTGACAGAAGCTTAAACCCTAGTTTATGCGTTGCTTCGTTAGGGGTTCATATGGGCCCATATGTTTAATGATGTGGTTAGGTTTACCTTAATACTCCTTTTTGTAGTTGTGGATGCTTGCAATAGGGGTTAATCATAAGTGGGATGCTTGTCCAAGTTAGGGCAGTACCCAAGTGCCGGTCCACCCACATATCAAGTTATCAAAGTACCGAACGTGAATCATATGAGCGTGATGAAAACTAGCTTGACGATAATTCCCAATGTGTCCTCGGGAGCTCCTCTATTATTATTAGAATTTGTCCAGGCTTATCCTTTGCTACATAAAGGATTGGGCCACCTTGCTGCACCCTATTTACTTTGTTTACTTATTACTCATTACTATTTATCCTATCACAAAACTATCTATCACCTACTATTTCAGTGCTTGCAGAGAAAACCTTACTGAAAGCCGCTTATCATTTCCTTCTACTCCTCGTTGGGTTCGACACTCTTACTTATCAAAAGGACTACGATAGATCCCCTATACTTGTGGGTCATCAAGACTCTTTTCTGGCACCGTTTCCACGGAGTGTAGCGCTTTTGGTGACTGGAACTTGGTAAGGAAACATTTATTTAGTGTGCTGAAATTTTTTGTTACTTGTCACTATGGAAACTAATCCTTTGAGAGGCTTGTTTGGGGTATCTTCACCCCAACCAGAAGAGCAAAGAGATGCTCCTCAACCTACTGAACCTTATGAAAATATTCACTTTGAGATTCCTTCGGGTATGATAGAAAAACTGCTAGCTAATCCTTTTGCAGGAGACGGAACTTTGCATCCCCACCTACACCTTATCTTTGTGGATGAAGTTTGTGGATTATTTAAGCTTGCAGGTATCCTCAATGATGTTGTTAAAAGGAAGGTCTTCCCTTTATCTTTGAAGGGAGATGCAATGACATGGTATAGGCTATGTGATGATACGAGATTTTGGAATTATAAGAGACTGAAGTTGGAGTTTCACCAGAAGTTCTACCCTATGCATCTTGTTCATCGTGATCCTAATTACATATATAATTTCTGGCCTCGTGAAGGAGAAAGCATCGCTCAAGCTTGGGGGAGGCTTAAATCCATGTTATATTCATGCCCCAATCATGAGCTCTCTCAGGAAATGATTATTCAAAAAATTTATGCTCGGCTTTCTCTTGATAATCGCAACCTGCTCGATGCTTCCTGTGCTGGTTCCTATATGCTGAAGACTATTGATTTCAAATGGGACTTATTGGAAAGAATTAGACGCAACTCTGAAGATTGGGGTTCCGACAATGGTAAGGAGTCAGGTATGACACCTAAGTTCGATTATGTTAAATCTTTTATGGATACCGATGCTTTCTGTGGATTTAGCTCTAAGTATGCACTTGACTCTGAGATAGTAGCTACTTTTTGTGAAACTTTTGCTACTCACGTTGATCTCCCTAAAGAGAAGTGGTTTAAATATAATCCTCCTGTTGAAGTGAAAGTAGTTGCACCTATTACAGTCGAAGAAAAGACTATTACATATAGTGATCCTATTATTCCTACTGCTTATGTCGAAAAACCTCCTTTTCCTGTTAGCATAAAAGATCATGTTAAAGCTTCGACTGTTGTTCGTAAGAGTAATACTAGGACTTATACACCTCCTGAGCAAATTAATGTTGAACCTAGTATTGCTATGATTAAAGATCTCTTGGATGAAGACTTAGATCGGCATGTTATCTCTTTCGTGGGTGAAACTGCTAATATTGCTAGACCCGACACTAAGACACGTAGACCTGTTGTAGGCACGCCTGTTATATCTGTTAAAATAGGAGATCATTGTTATCATGGCTTATGTGATATGGGTGCTAGTGCTAATGTGATACATTATGATCTTTATAAAGAAATTATGCATGATATTGCACCTGTTGAATTAGAAGACATTGATGTTACTATTAAGCTTGCTAATAGGGACACCATTAAACCTATTGGGATTGTTAGAGATGTTGAAGTCTTGTGTGAAAAGATTAAATACCCTACTGATTTCCTTGTTCTTTCTTCCCCACAAGATAATTTTTTGTCCCATTATTTTTGGTAGACCCTTTTTGAATACTGCTAGTGCTAAGATTAATTGCGAAAGGAATATTGTCACTGTTGGCATAGATGGTATGTCTCATGAGTTTAATTTCGCTAAGTTTAGTAGACAACCTCGTGAAAGGGAACCACCTAGTAAGGATGAAATTATTGGTATTGCTTCCATTGCTGTTCCCCCAACTGATCCGTTAGAACAATATTTGTTAGACCATGAAAATGATATGTTTATGAAGGAAAGGGAAGAAATAGACGAAGTGTTCCTTAAACAAGATCCTATGCTAAAACATAACCTTCCCGTTGAAATTCTTGGGGATCCCCCTCCACCCAAGGGTGATCTCGTGTTCGAACTCAAACCCTTACTTGATAATCTCAAGTATGCTTATCTTGATGAAAAAGAAATATATCCTGTTATTATTAGTGCTAACCTTTTAGAGAAAGAAGAAGAAAGATTATTGAAAACTCTGAAGAAGCACCGAGCTGCTATTGGATATACTCTGGATGATCTTAAGGGCATTAGTCCCACATTATGTCAACACAAAATTTCAGTGGAGAAGGATGCCAAACCAGTTAGA